GATGGAACAAGTAACTTCATTTCTCTACCTTGCATTATATGCTTTAGAAGGCACTTAAACTACCCTGGCACCAATGTAGCAATCATTAACATTTTATCTTTATCCTGCTGAACACTTGAAGAAGCAACAGAAGCAGCAGCAAATGGAAGAGAAATAAATTAGACAGCAAAGACTTGGAAAAAAAGCTTGGAATCAAAATCCTGGATGGGAATACCCCCCACACAGGCATTGGCTCTGTATCTGAATTCTCCATCTTGTGTCCAACTCTAATCATTACCAGTTTCTTTTCAAAAGCCTGTGCCTGAATGAACTGATGTGTTATGAGACAGTCATGACCTAAGTAAACTCCAAACAAATCATTCATCACAGTAAAGCTCCAGAACAAGCTGGTACTTTCTCACAGAACAGTGTTCTTCTAAACACACGTTATACATGAAGAGAAAACAGAAAACACATACTTTCTGTAGGCTTTCATCAATTGTACACAAACAAAGCCTTTGATAATTCTGAATAGGCTTGAGATCATTATGCCCCAGGCCAAGAGGCTCTCAGTAGTTTAAGATCTCATTTTCCAAACTTTTAGTCAATAGAGTCTTTTTAACTGCAAGGGAGAAAGGAACACTTTTTCCATGAATATCGTTATGTTCACAATGCCCCTACTCAAACCCTTACATACGCTACCTTTTTCCTTACCAAAATCAAACTTCACATCCTCAAGGTCAGGAGTAGGAAGTGCTCACCCACATCAGCTGCTACATTTTCTGTTACCCATCGTTCCCTTTTATGGCCTAAGTTGTTCCTGAAACAATTGACCTTCTCCAGTTCTCAGGCTTACTCTTACCTTCTTGTCACTCAAATCTACCACACACGCTGTGCTAAATTTCCTTTGGTTTGCCTTTTGAAATTATCTACATAAAGTCATGAAAAGATTCTTATGCGGATCCAGGAGGGCAACTAGAATACCAAGGAAATGTGCCCACCATTTTACATTCTACAGCTCACACCAACACACGACAACCATGCAGTTAATTTAATATTTTAGTAAAATACTGGATTGCTTTGACTCCAGAAAAAGTGTAACCAGCTTAATCTAGACACTATTTTCAAGTCCTTTCCCTTTGAAAGCAAACCCTAAATCAGTCTGAACTGCCGAGGACTCAAATCTTGTTCTCCAGTGTGGTGTTTTTGTTTTAGCTACTTTATCAGCTTGGGATTATAAAGTAATGAAAATGTTATGCATTCAATTTAATATCACATTCTCTATAAAAATTACAAGAAGCAATCATTTCATTAAGGAATTTGGACTTTTGGCTCCTATATTAGAAACCCATGCCCAAAGGTTTCTTTTTCTTTAGAAGTGTTATGTAGTAATTGGTAAGGAACAGAAGTGTACTTAACACTATGGTATCCTGTAATTCACATCAGCAGCTGCACAAATAATTGCAGCCCTTCTCAGGTAAAACCTCACCAATCTAAATTAGTTTTCCCAGAGCAAGGAAGGACTGAAATCCCTCTGAATGATAGGGAGATCAACAGAGGCCTTTACAAGTGTTAAAGCACAGTCTGGTCTACAGGGTATACAAATGCTACCTGCCAACAAGCACTGAAAGAGCACAGTTTTCAGTCTCTCAATCGAATTCTAATGAATTTTGGCTAGTATTTTTTTTCCATGTATTAAACAGCAAGGTGTCAGTTTTACCCTGACCAGGTAAACACTTCAGAATTCCAGTATTCATAGAAGGGCTTTAACAGGCCTCTTTGTTCAAGGATCAATAATTCCATTTCCCTGCAGCTGATTCCCTGTTTTTTTCAAAGGACCACTTATCAGCGAAATTTGATTCAGCCCCCTTTTTGTCAGGCCTAGGAGACATCACGGATCTTTAGAACCAGATTTTTGTTTGTGTTTCAAGGGGTGACTAAATATGGAATCACATAAAACAGGGACAGTGGGGATTGATGAGGTCATCTACATCATCTCCTCATCTCCAGGCAGGATCAGTTTTGCCTAAAATTGTTAGTAGCAACTTCTCCAAAGTTCTTAGGAGAATCCATTGACTAGTTCAAATTATGCATCCATGAAATTATTAGAAATTTTCTTTTACATCCGACATGCATCTCCAGTTAAATACAACGCTACTTCTACTTTTCTGATTTTAAACATATAATACATTACTAAATCTGATAATATATAAATTCACATTTGTTTTACTTACCCTGGTAACGAGTGCTCTTTCTGCAAAATTAATTGAATAGTGGCATGTCATTTAAGACTTGTCTTACACTACTGTAGCAACTGAGCCTTAGAATATCACAATAATCCCTTTATTTTTTTTACATTGTTTTTCTACTAGAACTGAAACAGAAATTGTAATTAATTCCCCATAACAAGGTTCTAATTTTAGGCAGTCTGGAAGGAAGATGCTAGGAAAGGAATAACATCATACAACTCACAATTTTAGGAATACTTTTGGTGCCTAAAATTGCAGTGAGTCAATTCTGAGCAAAAGAACATCACTTTCAAACTAGTATTTTCTCTTCTTGATGATACTTTAAGGAAGAAATCACAGTCAGTTTTCAAGGTACTCAACCATTTCTTTCAAGTTATCTAAACTGTCTAACAAAAGCTAATTTACAATGGGAGGTGTCTACCACAGGTGCCATTAAGTCTAGAGCCATGAGACTGACTTCTCCCTGAACAACTATTTAACAAGATTATGATGTAGAAGCGTACTGCACTTCTTTGTGTGAAGCGCAAGGCTTTTTATCCCAAGAAATTATCTTCTGTTCCTCTTAGCTAATGCACTGTGAGGTTTTTCTAATCACTATTCTTAAGGGAAAGCAAGAAAACTTAATTAATATATAGACATTCACAAGTAAGTAGCTAGCAACACTTTTTTAATTCACCTTCAAATCAAGAAGGGTTCTAATTAAGATGAGATAACAGATTCAACTTCCTAGTGCTCTTCCCCAGCAGAGTTTTGTAACTGTAAGTGCATAACAAAAATATAATTATGTGGGACAGAAATCTAAAATGTGTAGCAAGTAAGATTGGTTTCTGCACACAAAAGCAGAAAAAAAGCAAAGCTTGCATCTTCCCAATATTTGAAACTACAAGTAAATTACATTTAAAAGCATTTCTTCTTGCTTGACTGATTCCCGGTCTGATACAGAATACAGACACTACATAAACAAACACTAAATTCTTTTTAGTGTGTTTAAAGATGAAAGCCATCATTATTATTTCTGAACTGGAGAATTAAATGTGACAATTTGAATACAGTGAGAATTTAAACATTTGAAACTAGAATCTTGAAGAAAACAATGAAACAATAAACACCTTCTATCAAAGACCAGCATTGCTAGGTTTGTTTGGGTTTGTCAGATTTTTTTTGTTTGTTTGTTTTGCTGTTTTCTGAGGGGTTAGTTTGGGTTTTGTGTCAGGTTTTTTTGGATTTTTTTGGCAGGGGGGGTCTGAAGGGCAGGCAATATTTTTTATTTCATGTTTATTGAAAGGGAAGGGTAGGGAAGAGTCCTTAATTTAACTGGAGCCAGTTAATAAATAGAATCAGTCTGGACAATTTTGAATATTAGATTCTCCTTAGTGAATATTTTTAAGTCAAAATGAATCATCTAGAAATGCAAAAATTATAAGAAAGTAAACAAAACCCACATTTTCACAGATCAACGTAAGAGATTGTGAATGCAATAAAATTGAATTAATTTTCCTAATACAAACAATAGTTATTCAGATTTGTTAATGTACATTCTTTGTTTAGGTTTTTTTTTTCTTAGTTCAAACTTAGATCAGATTTTTTTTTCTTAGATCAAAAATATGACCACATACTGACCTACTCAAATGTGATTTAGGTTCACTAGAGCATAAATCACAAAACCATAAAGTCACATATTTTCCAGATAAAATAACTGTAGATAAAATAACTTCTGGTTTTACCTAGTTTGCCTTGGTGCATGACAATATCTTAATGCTTATGAATAACTTCACATTTTTCTGGCTGTAATATCAATTACTTATACTAACAAAAGTTAAATATTAATTTAGGGATCTATCTTGCACTATGTTCATAACTTAATAGAAAGACCAACTTTCAAAGTTATTTACAGGCCTAAGGAAGCCAACAGGGATGGCTGTGAGAACACGGGAAGAACAGGCTTATGTCCCAGTCTGCAAGTGCTTGAGCACTTTGAAAATCCCACCAGCTACAGTTCAGCACATCAGAAAGCCCACGTCCTGTCGTACAAAAGCTTCTTCTGTGCCATGGATGGATTCTACAGGTATTTATGGATGTGGTGTACCAGAAAACAGCGGGCCAAAGAGAAGGAAAAGACCGTGCTGAGAAGTACTTGAAAATCTCCCAGAATTTCTAAGATCTGAAGGTTACTGGACATCCTGAATCCATGAGAATTGATAAAAATCAAAACACCAAGAATCAGCTGAACCTGCAGAAGGCCACCAGCATACTAGCATCAAGAATGCAGGCAACCTAGAACATGTTGAAGTTAATGCCTGCTATATGTAGTCAAAGGATCAAGATACACATATGATGAAATAAAAGACCTTCTGGATCCTTCCTGAATTCCAACTCAGAAGTCACTGGTGCATTAGTGCCACCTTCCACTTGCGAGTAAACAAGTGTGATTGGCTCCCAGCTGTTGCTCCAACCAAGTATTCTGAGAGAAAGTAACTGTATGAGCAAACAACTGCATATAATGTATGATTAGTTATCTGCTACTAAAAACAACAGCTTGCTCTTAATAACAGTTGAATTTATAAAAGGTGTTCTAATTAGCTCTGCTTTTGATCTGTGCCTCCTCCAACTCAATCCCCTATTAGGGAAACAGAAGTTTATATCACTCCTTGTTCTGGTGCTCCCTATTCAAATGGCTCCACTTCTACCCTACAGGAGCAAGCCGTGTTAGTATGCCCATGCAAGCTTTAATGGGAGGAAAACAAACATGTTCTGTTATTTGAAAATACTTACTTGGTAGGGATATAGAGTGACTCCATTCGTTCTTGACAAAGACCAAGTGCCGTCAAGGTACTGATGGGCCTGGATGGCCACAGAGTTGAGAACATTACCATTGCTGGGGCTGGTGGCCATTTGAAAGCTGACCTTAGCTTGGTGTCCAGGAGAGCCATTTTTTTTCTCCACCCCGTTGCCGATTCCTAAACTGTTGGGTTTTCCACTGTGTTTGTTGGCAACAAAGCCTGTATAGTTAGATGTAGCATAAGGAGAAGGCATGTACGCCCAGTCCCTGGGCTGCAGGCTGCCCATGTGCCGGGGACTCACTAACGTGGGGATATTGGAGAGAGGTGGGGGAGAGCCTGGCGAGGCATCGTAATGTTCTGAGTTGGCAGCTTGCTCCAAGGTCAGCACCATCTGAATGGCCTCTTGCTTCAATTGGTTCAGGTGTGTGGCACAAACATCACATCTGTTGTCCTTCTCGTTCCATGCCTTACGAATGGTATTGGGAACTTGAAGCTTCTCATGAATCACTGAAGAGAAACCCAGGTCCTAAAAATCAAACAGAGAAGGGTAAGGAGAGGACAGAAGAGAAATGTTTAACCATGGTCATCACAGTGAAACACTATTACTGTATTTCAAAAGCCAGTTTATGAGATAAGCTTAGAATGCAAACAAAGGCCATTAGATACAGTCAACATATGCCAGCAGCAGAGCTGAACAAATCTGAGAAACTGGATTGTGTTGGAAAGAAAAAAATTCTTTTACTTTTACTGATAAGTAGCAAATATTGTAATTCCACTGCAAGTTTCAATGCATAGCAGAGAAATGGAATTAACTTGCTTCACACCACTGCACCTAGTTTCTGGCTTGAATGAAATCTACTCTTAGTTACACAGGTGAGATTAAGAGCAACTCCACTATAGCCAGTGGACTTGTAGCAAGGTTCATAAGTCCATCTGCTCATCGATGCCAGCTTTTGGTACTCAGAAAACCCAGGAAATACTCTGTAACAAAAATGTCACACTTCAAAGACTGCTGTAAAGAAACAAAATGAAAAAACAGAAGTATTATCACTCTCCCAAAATCCTTTTCAGAATTCAAAACAGATGGATAGTTGATAAAGTCATTTACCAAGAATGCACTTTTCAGCCAAATCCCATCCACCCCAAAAAAACCCTAAAAAAATCCAAATGAAAACAAATCACCTTTCTGTTACTGAAATGTTCTACCACTATTTTGGGTATCTGCTGATAACGTATAATAAAGTAATAATTTTATTTATAAAATACAACATGTATAGAGTTAATAATCTGTTAAGAACTAATTTTCTCCTCCAAAAGCATAGTTTTGGTGCAAAATCACATAATCAAGTTTAAAGCCTTTTGCCTCATAGCCTTATCTCACAGGTAGGTATTTGAACACCAGTGGTGCTCCCCACTGAGCAATATGCCACCCTGATCTGAATGCTGGTCCAAACTGCAAAGTGCTTCAGTAAGTTCTGAAGCCAAACAGCAGTCTTAACGGAGACTTAGCACCAAACTCGCCTACTTCTTCCAGTATCAGGCAGTTTCAGAAACTCACAGCAATGATGTGTGTGGTACACAGAGCAAAAAGGTGACAGTGATTTGACAGAAATATTTCTTGGAATTTTCACACCACATTTCTGTGGTTTTACAGACCAAGCAGGGCAGACTTCACCTGCCCCTCCTTAATTTTTGGAGACTTATTGGTGGATTTTCTTATGACTACTCAAGAAGTTTAATCAGTAGTATCAGAATCTTTTTTATTCTCTCCATCTTTGTGGCTCTAATAGCTTTAGCAGCAAACTGAAATCAGACTGAAAGGATGCATGTGTGTGTGAGGGGAAAAAAAATCCCACAAATAGGCAGCACCCTTATCAAGTAATTAAGTAATTTGATGAACCCTGTGCCATCAAGATAGACAAATTTCATGTCTTGATAGTGTGGCTGTGCTGGAAAAGTGGGTAGGGGGTATAATATAGGGAGGGAGAGAATTCATTGGTAGAGGGTCATATTCATTATGATCCATCTTTATAATATACTTGAGCATTTTATTTTCACTGTTTAACTACCGTGAACAGCTCCTCAGCATGCAGTGATTAATTGATTCATAAATCACGGTGCCTCTTTATGCACAGCAGCAAAAGAGTAGTTCCAGCCCCAGAAGCCCAGGAGAGTCATATAAGCTGATGGGAAACAACAGGAGGCTGAGATCTGATCAAGCCTCAAGCTGGTCATTTCTATTCTATGCACAAAGGGGGTCAGAGCTTCAAAGTGTGTCAGGAAGGCAGGAACTGGATTCTGTAACAACCCTTCCCCCTTAACCTTTGGGAAAGGGACTGATGGAAATCAGGGGGAAAAAACAGGATGCAAAAGATGTCAAATCATATTTTCCATCCGAGACCATAACTAGGTCAACAGATCACACTGGATATAGGCACTCACTCTGTGATGCCAGGTGTGCAGGGAAATGACTCTCTACTTTTCCCATAATGAGCTAGACAAAGCTACCTATATAGCTGAAGTGGGGTGTGTGTCTTCTTTCCAGGCTGCTCCACATCAGTCCAGGAAAAATCCTTGCCAGCTCTTCCTTCAGCTAGCAAGTGTCACAAAGGTAGCTGTTGTTCTTTGAAAGTTAACTTCCTAAGGCAACTGGGCTTAGACACAGGTAATTATATACAACATTGAGATCCAACAGCAGTTCAACATGGAAATTCCAGGATACTATGATAAATATTCCAAGGAAATAATGCCTTCTTTAACATAAGCAAATGTCAGCATGATATAAATATTCAAGTAGCGCACCAACTTTACAGAGTACTGGACAGCAGTGAATTCAGCTTCATCTCAGTGTTAAAACAAACATCAGATCATTCTCTGATACAACAATAAACAGAGAGAGAGAGGGAGGAAGGGAAGATGAAAGACTGTTCCTCCTCAGGAGCAGAAAGGAGAAACAGGCAAAACCTGAATTGGTTGCTCCGAAGATTGGCCCTACTAATATATCAGACTCTACTAGACAGACAGTTCTACCTAGATCCAAGTCTGGGATATGAAACAGAAAAGCCTACAGGACAGCAAATAAATTTGGAGGAACACAGGTTCCAGAAGCACATTAGTCACATTTTGTTCTCAAAACAAAACTGATAGAGCCTAGAGAGTTTACTTTCATATTCTGCACTGGGCAGATCCACTATAATTTCACAGAAGTGGCTGACGACACATCTACAACACATTTAGCAGGGAGGAGGCCAAAGCCGGACAGTCCCTACATCCTTGTTGGAATAGCAGGGAAATGAAGCTACACCGCACTTTCTGTTTTAGTATTTCAGCTGCAAGCAATCATCTGCACACATTCCCCTGGGAATGCTTAATAGTTCAATAAACAGTATCTTGTCCCATACAAAATAGCGACAGGCAAGCCTCACTGGATAAGTAATTTGAGCTAGCTGCACTGAGCAGCAGAAGTTGAAAAAGGTTATATTCACTACCAAAACTTGTGAGGTCTAAGAAACTCTGCACTCCCTGGCAAAAGAACAGATTTGCTTGTGAAATCTGAGGTTGACACTGGAAATAGCATTTATGTTTTGGCACTCATTTCTAGTCCTGATGGAACAAAGTACAGTGACACTGAAAACTGAAACAGAACTTTAAAAATCACAAAAGAGTTTGGTTTGAGTTCAGGGCAAAGGTTCACGATGGTTTCTCTTCTTGCTGTAATGGTTTACCCATCTTTAGTATAAACATCATTACTGTAAACTCCTATTCCTACAATAAACAAATGAAGGCGTGTAAGAGGTCTGAAAGCTTCAGGAGATCAGACATAGCACAGACCATGGCATAAATGCACAAGGCAAGCAGTGAACTAAACAGAGTGTGCGCTGATCTATACTGCAAGAAGGCTTTTCACCTTAGCTTTGAGTTTTCAAGGTCAAGTAAACACCAATTCCAGATATGTTTAGTTCCTCATCTTCTCCACTGTAACCAGATAGTAACTAATTCCTTATCTTTGTTACTGAACTAAAAACCCACATGGGAAATACAGAAGAGGGAACAAAATATTGCATTTTAGAGACGCAAGGTAGGCTAAGGAATTCCTGTATCCAGCAAACAGGCACTAGTTAAGAAACAGTGAAATGTTTCTTACACAGACAGCTCTACCAGAGTAAATGTAGTCCTAATTTCATGGGGGAGGAGGAACAGCATTACTGTATGATCATGAAAGGGACTGCAGAAGCATCCTCCTCTCTTTCATCTCCGTTCATAAAACTGTGCCTTGCTATATAGTTCTCATGATGTGTTAACTCCACTGCTAAGAAAGCAGATGACAAAGCTTAGAGCACATCTTCCTCAGGAGAGAAAGCAAACAACCACTTCCAGCATGAAGCACCACCTGTTTCACACATACATTTACACAAAGCTCACAAGGAGACACGACGGAAGCAGGATGAGCTCAACTGCTGCACAGAGAAACAGGCAAGAAACAAGATGAACAATTTGCACTTTTACATGTCTCATGGATACTAGTTGATCATAGATTTGTATACAAACACCTCGTACACATTCTACTCTTTTGCAAGCATACAGCAGGCAGAAACTAATAAAGGACATACTCTCTAAAATTGCATACACAACTGCATTTGATTTGGCCAACAACAGCTTATGCAAGTTATACATTGTAACCCTACGCCATTACCTCAGAGAAAACTCAAATATACAATGGATCTCAAGATGTTTTTGAACAAATTGTGTTCTTCAACACAAATATTACTCACCGCTCTTTACAGAAAAACAAAGAGTCAATATTAACTAAATCACAGAGGTCAGCTTCCACTTGAAGATGCTCACAAAAGACTCATGGAGTTCTCTTGTTTCTGAGATGGTCCAGGCAGTAATGATTGCTGGTATATAATCCATCACACAAGGTGAGGAGAAAAGGGGAAAGCATCAATTAGAGTTCTTCCCAGGAAGAAGTATGTTTTCCAGATTCTCCCTCTCCACAGGCAAGGAGTAGAACAACTTAAGAAACTTTAGTAGGAGGGAAGCCTTAACCTGATTAAAAAAACCATGTTATTCTATGATCGTGCAAACATGTCTACTCTAAACACAATCCTGCTGGTCCATAGTTGATTACTATTTAGGAAAAATGGAGGTGGGGGGAAATTTAAACAAAAAAATCTCCTCCATTCTCCTTTCTCTCTTGAGGGTGTACTTTCAAGCTCAATAAAGAGATTACACTTGTAATTTGTTTTCCAGAGGCACTTGGTCTATTTTCCAAAACTCTGCATCCTAACTTAAATGTATCCTATAATTTTCTAGGCTACATTTTAGAGGTTTGCTGTTTTCATTATTCCAGAGCCCCAACAGTTGAAAAACAGCTCCTCACTGTTACGATGGCACCACTTCCATTAAAGCAAAAGTATCTTCAAATATACAGAAGTCAATGGGAGTTTT